AAAGTGTGGGAAGATCCAATGTGACAGTAGAATGGGAGTTAGAAATAGAGGTCTCATAAGATGAAGGGAAAGTGTCTGTGAAGTTACACATGAGTGTTGAACTTTTTTGTCATGGGATTTTAGGCTTGCTGGACAGAGACCATGTTTCTAAACAAAAGCCCACAGAGGGAGCAATAATGTGTATTATATTACAACTTAGAGCACAACTAAAAATGTGACAGTTTGCCAACTTACAGGAAAAATGAAATATTTTTTTCCTGGAATATTTATGAAGTGACTGTTAAATTTCTATATGTTCTTACACCATCTCTAATTCGTTTATTACTCGTAGATGTAAAGACAAACAAAGAAACAAAAGAGAGCAGACATTATTAGGCTACTGCTTAATAATCATTAAAACGTATAAGTATCACAAAAAGAACAAATCATGATACTGAAACATTTCGAAATTCAAACTGTGAGCGTTAAACACTTTCACAGTACAGTTAATAGAGCTTATAATTGTGTATCACATGTAGGACGACCAGATTCCAAGCCAAAAAACCGGGACAGTCCAGCCCTTGCCCATAATTTAAAAATGATTATTACAAATTTGAAATAATTTTTACTTAATTTATTTTTGATTTATTTAACTGTTTCACAATATTTCCAGATATATTAACATTGGCATTATGTTTGAAAAAAATCAATAGCTTATTTTGTTGATAGGCCTAAAACAAATGAGCAAAAACGGTCAGATTATGCATTCCAAGAATTTTTTAATTATTCACTTTATCCAATTCATCTTAAAATAAGCTACTTCGTATCTGGATTTATTTAATAATTTATAACATTTTCAAACACACTAATTTTTAGGTTCTAGCATTACCTTAAAACTGTTTAGACATATTTTGGTGAAGAATGAATGGAACGTAGAATTTCTGTTTTTTTCTTCTTCTTTAAATATTCACAAAATTCTGTACATGACCGTGTAAAGCGTGCTTTGTCGATGAGCACTGCCTTAACTGTCCTCACATTCACACCTGCGCAGACCTAGGTTTCTCACCTCGCACAGACGGAATTTTCGAGAGAGTTTGGAGGCAGGAGAGTACGTGTTACCACAGTGAGCAAGCGAAGTAAGCCTATTGCATTCGTGATTCGATGTGACTGACAGTTTGATGTCTTTATCATAAAATCGGGACACTGGGACAAACTACCAAAAAATGGAACTGTTCCGGCAAAACCGGAACGTCTGGTCACATCAAGTACATGTTTCAAAAACACCTGAGCAACAACGAGGAGTTTGGTAAATCAGCCGCTTGTTTAATGCCAATCTACAGTTCCAGCATGCTGTAACAAATTTATGTGATTAGAAGTTCTAAGTTGGACCACTAGATGTCACTTAAGTCAAAACTTTCCGCACGAAGTCATCTTGAGGTATAACAGTCGACGTTCTATCAAAGTTGGACTTTGAGCAGAATCAGTTTTGTAACTGGACCTTCGAAAAGGTAATACAACTATGGAACGAGAATAACGATGAGTGAGGAATCACGAAACTAGCTGATAATATAATCAAAATTTGTTTAGTTTGTCTGCGTATCGAAATAATTCACCACATAAGTACACTATCTGATAGAGAATAAAAGATGCACTGAATGTCTACATTCGTGCTAGTAAGTAACATTTGTTCACAGCATCCGAGCTTCGGTCTAAATTATAGTGAAATCACAGACAGAGATACAAAAGAAATCCCATCTTTTATCACTGAAACACAGCTGGGTTCCTTGAAATAATTTGTTGTCTGTAATTGCCGGTTTTGTGTTCCAGGTTTTTTTCAACAAGCTGACTAAGCAGGAACTTAAAATCATAAATAATATTCAACGTTAAACTGATACACAATTAGAAAAACATTTTATTTAGGCCTATCTATGGCCTTCAAAAAAGTTCACATGTTTCGATGTTGCAACGT